CCATGGCGACGTTACTATCACTGGAATAGCATAACAAGTGGCCCTGGACAAAAGATGGTACACTCCTTTTATATACCACTGCATCCACCACTTGCACACACACCCAGCACAAGCATTCATTCAAACAAAAGACCTCCTTGGCTTAATAAATAACTTACCTTTGTTCACCCCTGGTACAACTCAAACCCACGAAACCAAAAGCCCAAAATGCTAATTACATGTGAAGGAAGTTAAGCAGAATGAAAAGAAATAGCCCTCTAACTTCAATTGGTATTCAAAACTGGGGATAAAACATTTGCATATGAAATACAAGGCCTAAGTTGGCTGAGCTCTGACAGCGGCTTATCCGAGTTGATGCATTCACCTAAAGTATATTGTCAAAGGAATCAGTCTTGTGCTGGTTCTCAATTTACTTTGTAAATATCAGTACGTCTGAAGACACTGCTTTGCCCCACACCCAAGCTGTAGCGAAGAAAAAGCCTAGAATGACCCTTTTATTTTAGAATCATGTCACAGAGATGTTAATTTTAATTCAGTTATAAGTTGTATTATGGGTCACCGTGGTACAAGGAACCTATACTACAGGTAGGCTGTGTCACTGGATGATAGTGTTCCCGCACTTCCGCTGCTGGTGGTTGTAGATCAGAGCCTCCCTCTATGGACTCTTGTTAGTGAGCACATTGTGAAATTGAAGTTGAAAGGATATCAATGAGACAACGAGACACAACTTAATTGTTTAGTGGTCTCGAACAGTGGTCTCGAACCTTCCATTAGCAAGGAACTTTATGAATGGAATACTACTTTAGTAGTAGGCATTTCAGTGGTCTTGAATTTTGCAAGGAAGGGCTGTAATTGTATGCATATGCATAAATTATGCTTGTTAAGCTATATGATTATTTGTCTTGGCAGAGCAAAATAAATTATTGCCGAGTTACCAAAGTGCTAACTCTCAGACTCTGCACAATAACGCTCTAAAACAATTTATCACAACATCTGTGACCTGAGACAAGTTAGTTGCGGGCCCTTCCCAAGCTACCTTTCGTATGAAAACTAGTGCACAATGGAGTTCGCAGTGTGGACTCGAGGAAAAGGTAATAATTAAATATTTAGAAATTATTAGTCAAACAACTACACAAATTACGTATGTAGGTAAACAGTTTTCTAAATAGTGAAGCCAACCATACTTTTGAATCATGGACACATCGAAATAACAATACTTAAAATACGAATGCAAAGAAAATGTCATTATACGTGCCTTTAAGAGATACGTGTTGAAGAAATGCATGGATATCAGTCCACTATACATGTACATGTTAGATTTTAAAGCGCATTGAGATATGTTTTGCATCTGGGTGCGATTAAATCCCCTTCAACACAAGCAGTTGAAATAATCTCTTACTCAGTAGATATGTCAGTTAAAAATTCAAGGGCCTAAAGAAATTGCAGTATCTGGTGCATCGATTTTTTGGGGGGGGGTGTCAGTTCCAACCCACGCTGGTAACATTTTCTGGCTTAGGTTCATTCACTCAAGCAGCAAAGTGCAGTTTGATGCGTGAAGCTTTTCTACAGCATTTCAGGCGAATAGAGAGTTAGACTTTACTGTTCTGCCATACAGACAACATCACATTAACATTACAGCCGAAAGAAAAGAAAATTCAAGTGAATAGTGTCTAAGTGCATTACGGTTCGTAGTTTTGTCGTAATTGATATTTTGGCATGCTAATACAGTGCAGAGTTATTACAGCGGATATTTTAAACATGTGGACCTGGTAACGTTTAAGTTCTCAAAAGCAGACTTTTTAGTTCTGTCCCACTCTACATATTGCCACTGGACGGGTGTTTCCATTTGCAGATTAATGCCCCAACGGTAACGTGCAGTTCTTCGATGGTGTCTGATTTGATCAGCGTGACTGGCAGGGCATCTTTGTCAGTAAGTATCCCCTCGTCGTAGTCCCAATGGGACCTGTTGCGAGCATAGCCACAGTTGCACTTCTGATGATCAGCGTTGCACTCTGTCATATCGAGTGAAAACAAAATGATGTTTCATTGCCGTGCAATCAAATCAAGGAAGTAACTCAATTGAAAATGAAAATCAGAGAGTTTTTGAGTGAATTAATCGTCATGAAACTTCAAAAAAAAATATTCAGTTGCTTTCAAAATAGTTACAGATCGGTCAGTCCTACAATCTGCTGCTCACAGTCGTATCACAGGGGTCTATTTCCCAGCACAAATATTCAGAATGTACTTACTTTCATTACGAACTAAGTGCACATGTTGTGTTTTGGATATTGAAATGAAACTGCACTTTTAAAATAGGACAATATATGAACACACAGTTACCATCGGTCAAGCCACAGTCACAGCCTGTTTTCCCAGTAGGAACTCCCCAATTTGGCATTATTTCTCCATTCCTGGCACCCCACTTGAATGGTTGAGATGTCAGTGGCGATGGCGACGCGGTAAGGTTAGTTGTGGGACACACAACTCTGACTATTTGCTGACACGACAGCGAATTTTCGATTACACTAATGACTTGCTGCACATCAATGTTGTACGTAATGGCCCTGCTCTGCGGTTCGCCGATTTTGAAAGAATCCTCACCATCGTGGTGGATGATGGTTGTACCTATGAAATACAATCAAGTAGGTGACAGTTTGTAACTGTTTTTGTCACTTAAATTTGGGTTCGCCTTTGTAATTTCGTCAGCAATTTATATATGGTGGCGTCCCGCAGTTCACTCTGAAAGCCGACTACCATCAATATGATAATCAAGGGGCCCCCCAGGGTGAAAAATCAGGAGCCCTCTAGGAGTAGCAGCATTGCAACTTTTGTTCATATGGCCAATTGAAACCGACGGACACCGTAAACTGCAAACATTTTTCTTGCATTCGATTTTAAATAGAGTAAAATACCCCCAGACCCTGTATCTCTGACATGAGGGTCTACTCTACAACACAAAGCACATTGCAGAAAAATTTTCTCCATCGCAATACCTAATTTTTTTTTATATAACAAACTTTTACCATCTGTATCGCATTGACTGAAACATACCGATAGTGTTAATATTTTGGGACCTGGCAGATCTTTAGTCAGGCACTAATTTTGCTTAGTTGCCAAAGTTGTCTGATTCTTGCTTTAGGGGTTAATGAAGTCAATGAGGTCAAAGTTCAAGTACATTTTAAATAAATTAAAATCTGTGTACATCGGTCAATATCCAAGAAATTGTTTGATCCTCAACAATTTGGCAATAGAAAAGGGGTCTCAACCCCTCACTACCTGGTTAACGTGCTTGATACCTTAGCTTGCAATGCTGACTCCCAAAACACACCATCAACACTTGTGGCTACGGACTAAAGCAAAGCGTTTGGCAGGGTAGGTCACACAATTCTGAACACCAAGCTGTTAAACTCAGAACTCGCCCACCCGTGATACCCGTGGATCTGTGATTTTTTCCCATGAAAGTCAGCAATGCGTGCAATACAAGACTGGCACACCATCACTGCTTGCATCCCACAGGGAACCTGGCAGGGCCCCATAGCATTTCTTGCCATGATCATGATACAGCTGCAGACATCTCTGCCAGCATTAGAATAACGATATGATACTTGTGAAAACGCCCTCAACAAAGCCGCATGCAAGAAGCTTTGACATTAATTGAAAATGGTCCTCTGATAATCACTTGCAATTGAATGCAGGAAAATGCGCAGAAATGAGAGTTTACATTTATGTTTTCAGAAAAAATGCCACCACTAACAGAGCTCAGACTCTGTGATCAATGATTCAAGAATGCAATTCACTTAAAAGAACAGGCCTCGTTATTCAAAGAGATCTTAAATGAAATGAAGTGGCAAGGGATTTGGTTTCGAAAGCAAGGTTTTTCATAGGCGAATGTATATGCTAAGACTGCTTATGCACTTTGCCCTGTCCATAATCCATAATCATACAAGTAAGTTGAGGTACAAATTTCGAGATGTTCAGACTCATCTTTATTTGATTTCGACTTGATTTAATACAGAATTACAAACATTTTATTATTTTGCACAGAGATGAGACCGACTGGATTTACATGCATTAAAATTTGGCGATGCTATCAAACTGATACCAATATGGGCCGGTTATTCGTGTTTGTATCTCAAATAAACAAGTTATCTCTTCGTAAACTGGAGGTTTCTGCGTGTTTTTCTGGTGAATATCACCTTACAGTTCATGGTCAGGTCTTGGAAGACAGACAAGATATGGTGGTACAGGACGTAACGTTGGCTGTATGCAAAAAATTTGTAAAGCAGTAGGTGCGTATGTTGTGTGGACAAAGACTGAATGTTGTGTTATAATTTGCCAAGGTTGGACGCCGGTCTTCAATTTACACTACGGTTGACGTCAAGTGTATCAATTCATCATGCTATGCGAAAAAAACCCCGTTTTTTCTCCATTTCTTTTTACCTGACACAGGTAGCTAAATTTCATGCATGTTCCCTATGTCCAATGAAATGAAGGTGCTGTCAAAGCCGGGCTAGGCTATAACCAATTGCATCATTAAGTGCACATTTTAAATAGCTGCGCTTTGTTCTTTTACTCACCAGTTGACATATTGCAGAAAACCTGAAATGGGAGCTGTCCTTGGTTTAAACCGTCCATGTCTATTTCGTAGGTGTCATCCAGCAGATACCCCTCAGCGTGCAATGTTTGACATGTCCTAGCAGTCTGCAACTGAGGAGTTAACGTTGATGGGACATTTGTAAAACAGAGTTATGTCGATTACCGAAAAATAATGGATCACTTGGGAGACATTCCCATAAGAACGTGCACAAACTGTACTGTCCCATAATTGAATATTCCCTCATCTGATCTGAACCAAACTTTGTATGTTTTCAATTTAGACCCTAATATATCATCTCTCAAAAATTGGACGGTAAAATTCGGCCTCCTTCTGGTAACCGTGACTGGGGCATTAGGGAGACATGTCTCCCTAAGAGATGTTTCCCTAATGACCGATGTCTCCCTAAGGTCGAAAAAGCTACCTCAAAATGTATCCCTAGTGACCCATTTGTAAGGATATATATTACAAAAAAATAATGATGAATAAATAAATAACCGGAATAATTGTGAATAATTGCGAGTGTCACTTTAAATCCGGAATTGTGGAAGGAATAGCAATATGTTGCACTGCAAAAGTTGAACGTCACACCGTGTTCAGGTAAACATTTCGTTGAAGCGCGACCATCGTTCGATAATACTTACATGTCTACGACAGCCAAGGAAATCAAACTTCATCCAGGCGCATGTTTGTGAAGAGATTAAATCGATGTGAGCTATGTACATTCGTATGAACTGAGTGAGGACACTCTGGCTGAAAAAGCTAGTAGTCCTTTCCTCCCGACAATAAAAGACTGGAACCCCTTCTGTTGGTAGGAACGCCTGGGTGTATAGCAAAAACAAGAACTGAGAGGTACTTAGTAATACACAGGCCGAATGAGTCATTTATCATGTATTTGCTGGGCATTGGTCTCATTTCTACATTTTATCATCACTCAGAGTAGAAAGAATAATTATTTACGCAGAATAGTATTAATTCTGAGGGAATCATGAACATCTATGAGTTGGTAAGTTTCCTTTAATGAAGGAATTTGTCTACAAATTATTGATATTTCTTGTTACCTTTCCTCTACATCTTTGCTCAAGAAAGGTGAAAGGACAAAAAAAATTAATAGAATCAATTATGGTAAAACCAGAACTTGGAAAAACGGACACATCTCTTGGAATAAAACTACACAATTTTTCTCCCCATGTTTCAGGTTTCCTTGCGTAATAACATCTCCCAGATATTTTTATCAATACCAATTCCATCACATAAAGGGAGACTCCCATAAAGAAACTTGCAAGCAATAAGCTACGACCTCATTGCGTTCCAAGTGAGAATAAGCAACACATTTTAAAAAATTTTAAATAAAGAACTTTTAAAATTCTTATTATGTGATAAAGAATACGACGAAGCATACAGTCTGGTCGACGAGGAGATAAGTAAATGACTGAGAGGTGCAATGATCTTTAGAAGAGGGAAACGTTTATTAAGTGAGCTTTGTGATGGTTATGCATTCAGTTGGAAAACTGAATTGAGTAAAATATCAAATTGACTGAAATACTGTTCCTCTTTAAATCAGAACTGTTCTTGATATATTTAGAATATAATCCGTTTTGGTCGACATCTTCAAGGTGACATTGTTGTGCGCTAAGTTACAGTCATTTGATGTAGATGGGAACCAGCCGGCTGGTTCTCTCCCTGGTGATGAAACATTACCCTTCTGATTTGTAAACAATTTGATTTGTTCTTTATCTTTGCCATATAGATAACTGGAGTTGTTTACAACAGACTCATAGTAGTTTGCGTTATTCCACCATTAAGAGTAATGATTATGTATATTTCGTCACTGACCCTACGAATCGACACTCGGTTGCAAGTGCGCTATCAACAATTTCAGTTTCACGAACCAGCATCCGGTGATGCGCCCTCACATCGGACACTGAAGCGAGATGGAATGTTTTTCGTTTTCCCAAACTGCCTAGCTTGTCACAGCAATTCAGCGCGAAGAAATATGCTTTGAAGGGTTTGATATGAATTTCATCCACCTGTATACCTCATGCCTTACCCGAATTTTTAATTAGAATTCGTCTTAACTAGTGCAACTCTGATCGGTATCTTTACCTGAAAACGAAAATGCACGGAGTGTGCACTAGAAGTGCCGCAGTGTACCGAGTGCCAGTTCTTCAAAACGAAAACAGCTCGGTTCTCTGAAATGCGCACATAATCACCTCACGCACAATTGAGAGTCCCACCTGTTTCAGTCAGGCGTTGTAGAGTCGCACCAAACCAAAAAGACTAAAGAGCGACTTGGGTGGACTTAATGAAATTAAGGTTTCAGACAGACGAACTCAATACACTAGACACGTCTTCACGTAAACAAACGAACATATGATATAAGCTTAGCAACAAGTACGCATCGCTCAAAACTGTAATTTTTTTTTTCGGATCAGCTGTAACGTCTTCTTCACCTAAAATTACACGTGGCAGAAATTATGAGGTCGACTGACCGACCTTTGGCCTCTCACTTGGAATTACATGACTTAGGCCAGAGTTTTATTAATGCCAACTGAAAGGCAAATACAGGCTTTACACAAAATCTATACACTGTAAAAACTCTGGTGTTAAAATCAACACTTTTTGGTGTTATCAAAAGACCACACCATAGGGTGTTACTTCAACACCGCTGATGACACTTTGCACACCTACAAGTGTTACAATGCACTGGAGGGTGTTAAAATTAAGCAACACCGAATAACACCCAATTTTTGTTAACACCAGTGAAAAGTGTTGGTGTAGTCCTCTGATAACACCACGGTGTTAAATTCAACACCGGGGTGTTAAATTTACACTCCAGTTTTTACAGTGTTTACAGAAGTCCCGTTAGGTCAACAATTAGTTCCATTATCAAACTTAAATCGAGTTCCGCCTCAATACTTAATTGCAGCCTTGAAGTCAAGCTAACCATGTTCAATGCAATCTTTACATTTGCACAAATTTATAAGTTTTTTATTTGGGGAGCTGATTTCCCTTTGAATGGATCTCATTCAAAGCGTGAAAGACTTTTCCTTTCCCCATGTTATGGGAAACATGTACTTTGCGTCAGGAGATGCTAATTTCGCGGTAGGCCTACCGCTGCAACGGCTGACTCTGACCGGCCAACTGACCTGGCAATCTCGGTGGTCGAGTGGTAACGACGACTGAACTTGCTATATAGTCAGCAAGAGGTAATAAGACAATCCCATTTTTAAGCTTGTGAATTTTTTGGCAAGCTCTTAGACAAAAACTGAGCATAAGTGTAATTGGCCTACATAAACGTCGGTGTAAGGGCAAAATCCGTTATCAAAAACTCTTCCATTTTCAAAGGAAAATCGGTTGTGCACGGAGTATGAGAGATGTTTAGAGTCAAGGTGGCGCTGAGCATAACACTGGACCATCACGGCCAGACGTGGCAGGCATAGCCTATCTGCTTACATGTACATGATGTACATTATTGTTATTGTGCATGAATACAGTTCAACAAAACCAAGCAGAAAAACCCATAAATGCCAAAGCGGCTGAACTTGGTGATAGACATGAATCACAAGTGTTAATTATCCTCATGTGTGACTTCAAATTCATTCACATATTCCAAGTTTATAGCCTCCGAAATATCAATTTTCTTTTGACCAACGGAGGAGCTAAGACGACGTAAACGCGCATGAATCCGAGTACAGAGTGCACGCGATAGCGAGTGAACATGATTTCTTGTTTTTATGTTAGAGGGTCACTACTTATTTCCATACATTTACAAATTATTTGCATTTGGTTTGGCTCATGAAAAGTACGACGTCTTAAACTAAGTTTGTCTAGTTTCGCTCTGAGCGCCTTCAGTGTCGATTGCTGCAGACGTCGAACGTTAGCCGTATACTTCATTCGAAATTCGCTTTTAATTTGGTTCAGTGCAACTCTGAAACGCCTGTTCGTGGTGTAGGTAACTTTTTCAGATGGACTGTTTTTCCAATAAATATCATTCTGCTCATAGGAAGTCAACAAAGAACTGCTTTGCATTCACAAAAGTAATGATCTTGTATTCATTACCTCGTTGCCGTAGTTGTTCCTGATTGATATCCATCCCGTGGAATCATTTGATGTTCTGTGTTTCAAATAGAAACCATACGTACATCCATAACTCTCCAAAGTCCAGGATTCGAGTATAAGACCCGAAATACGTGTAGGCTCCCCAAAGTCAACCTGTGGAAAAGGTTTGGTTCTAGATTATTTCATCGCTGTTGGAATTTAGCAAGAGATACATTTTAGGGGAGGGGTGTGTTTTAAGAAGGGCTTGGAGATGCCTTTCTGATTTTTTGATTGTGAGGCTTAATTCAGGGAATTTTACTTGCTTTGGTGACGAAGGGAAATAAAACAATAGCCGTAATCCATCTTTCTCATTAAGCAAAATAAAAAAAATGGAGGATTTCCTCCCCAACAATGTTAAAAGCCTGAAAATAAGCGGTCGATACTGAAGAGTTTCATGTACATGTTAATACATTTCAGCAAAGCGAGTTTGCAACCTCCATACATTTTAAATTAACTAACTAAGGTAACTGGAAACGACTGAAAAATTCAATGAAAAGAGATATGAAAATACACGACACGTTTTATCATGTATCGAATTTCCCGTGCACGTAAACTTGACAAAACTGAATTTAACGTAATCAAAGTAATTTCTAAACATGATTTTAATTAGAATCAATTAAAAATGAAATTGTTTCTAACACACCGTAAAAGTGTCCTCAGCACAATCCAGGAAATATCACGATGGGGTGTTGTAATGTAGACAAAATGTACAATCACCTGAACCGTAATTTTCCGGTTTAAAGTAATGGTGCCATTTTGTGTGACCTACTTTAAAGATCCAGGAAAGACGCTTTGGGAGTCAGAAAAATACTCCATGGGTACAGTCCACTAATTTAAGTGCGAATTTGTGGCTAGCTCATTAGCATTAAAAGTGCCTTCACCGTGTGTTTTGAAAAAAGGAGATTGTTTGGCCCCCAAAATGCTGAGATTGTGTAAATCGTTGCCAGGATCAATTCCCTGGTCTTTAAGATTGATATGAGACCAGAATGGCAAGAACTACAGTTGAAAAATGGTCCTAAGTGCCCGAGAAAGTTGAGGGTTGCCACTTGAAAACTGGCTGCAATCAGGCTTTGGAAATATCACTCTTCGGGGGTTAGTTTTTGGGGGAATAATTAAAAATTAATTTGTTAACCAACAAAAAAGTTGAAAGATATTGAATGATTAGGGAGCAGACAATAATTTTATCTCAGGGATGTTCGTAAGCATGTTATTGAGCCCTGAAGAGTGCTGATTTTACACTGTTTCCAATGGGGCCTGAATTAGACTGTACCCCCATGTTTGATGACCTGCCTTTTTAGGATCATGCAGATGTTATTATCATTTGCAACAAATTGTTTGTATTGCCAATCTTGTACGATTATTCCTTTTTAATATAGTTTTCCCGGCTAGTTCCACACTTCTTCAATTTAAAATTGCTAAAAAAGGTTTAAATTCGTCAAAGAGGAGTCACTCGCCCCAAATGTTGGTTCCAATTTCGAAAAAAACACTGCTTGATTTCACTTTCAGAGTATTGTAATTAATGAAAAAAGCAATTCTTAATCATCCTATTTATTTTTGTCTCTCTCTGGGAATGGCCTTGAATGGGAAATTTGACAGTGGGCCAGCCAATATGACATAGCCCTCTAGAAATAGTTTCAGGGCATTGTTCGGTGATAGCTGGCAACCATCTTCAATCAGTCATTTATGCCATAAAAAACAAGATGTGGGTGGATGCCACTGTCAATTTTGCATTGATTCAAGGTCATTTTAAGGTTACGAGAGGTCAAGTGATGTCAAAATTTACTTTTTTTTATGACTTAAATTTTCATCTGCAGTTACATATGTACACAGAAATCATTATCAACATCATTTGATGGTCCTAAGTTATGCAAATGTTGAATAAACTTTTATTTTGCACACAAAGTTTTATAAAAAGAAACATGAAAGGTCAAACTTCTTGAAATTTCTTGAAAGTGTTTAAATGCCACTCTTTCCAAGTGAACAATACTTTTTTCCCATCTGTTTAAACAGATCTGTTTTTTAAATATCCGTTTAATCCTTTGTGACAAATTTACAGCCCCCCAGACAAATAAAGTCAATGGGTGTCCAACATGACGGTCATTAAGTAGTGACATACATACGCAGACATACAATGGACATATATATGTAGGTATCTATGGCAATAATTTGTAGCTGTATGGATGGCCAGATGATACTCAGATTTTATTGGCACATATTTTGAAACGAGAAAACAGCGCAGGAGCCGAGTTTATGAGTGGCAATTTTGTTGAGAAGTTATCTCAAAGACGCTTCAACCAGGTTCCAGCTGATCAAGCACTGAGTGGGCAAACAGGACATAATACAATGCAAAAGTGTATATTAATTGGCATCACTCAGATTGATCAAGCCAAAGACAGGTTTTGCATCACATGGTCAGAAAGGTCACGAATCAATCACTTAGGAAACTCAATATTTACTCAACATACATGTAGACAATGAAGAAGAAGAAATAGTCCCATTCTCACGAGTACCGTAAGAGGTGTGACACTGATGATGTCAGGAAACTCATAACTCAACTAAAACAAATTTGTGTTCCAAGTAAAAACTACGGTGATACCAAGGATTGGAACAGAAGGACATCCCTAGTGTCATTGGCAACCAGAGATTTCGCAGCCACTGACAGGGAGGGGGACCTTCTGACAGCTAATGAACTAGGAAACGGAAAAGGACAGGCAACATCTGATCGAGAAAACTGTAGCCTTTCATTATTGTTATTACTATTTTTTTTAAATTTTTGACTATGTCAAGGGTCGTGAACAACCTCAAGGTCCTTCTAAAATCACTCCTTCTAAAATGATAAACGAATAAAGATAAAATAAGAAACGCTGTACATATTCTAAGAACCAAAAAGCCAAAATCTACAACTAAAAATGATGCAATGGCGCAATAAAACAACACTGCACCTAAACATTAGCTGATCTCTAACAAAGATGTCCACGAAGGAGAATGTACATAAGACTATAAAAGTCGTCTGCAAGTTACTACAGCGATTGTTCAATACTGTTATTGCAACTGTCTTCAAGCATTCACTCTCTAATCTGGCTGTTCCTGGCGAAGCCTTGAGGTAAAATGAATTTTACCCCCAAAGCGGTGCTATCATTAAGCATCTTCACATCTGGACTTGCACACACTGATGTGAAGACATGTTTTGTGGAAGATGTCCATGCACTCATCAGCGATGTATCCAGCTTTTGATGGGTGGGGCCGGGGGCACATTCACCTGCGAATGTGACTTTGGGCTCACTCAACATGATGTTTGGAGAAGCATACAGGAAAGCCTTAGATGCCAGTTGTCCGACATTATGCGAATATGCTAACGTGTTTTTAAAATTCTTCACGGGTCACTTTGAAAAGAACAAGAAAAAAGTTGATATGGTGTTTAATCGCTAAACCCGAGGCACATGTAGCTCAATCAAGGCAGTAATCAGGACAAAGCGAATGGGGAAAAAACTCACTGAGGACATCATGTACCACTCTTGCTTGTGTGGAACCAGTACATCGCTCTCAGTGAAAACAAAGCTGACCTTGCCAACTTTTGTTGGAAAGAGGCTAGGACCTTTCAGACCTCAGAACTGGGAAACCGTGAAGAAGCTGACACGAGGATTACGCTTCGTGCATTTCAAGCTATGAGAAATGGATATAAAAGATTACTGTTTTTCTGCAGGGATAGTGGTGTCATGCTTCTCCTGACACATTTCCTCTCAACTAAAGCTGAATGAGTGTTGGAACAGCAAGGAAGTGGAAATGATATCGATTACACCAGATTTTAAAAAGACTCACGCCAAACGTGAGAGAACACAATCTGGGATTCCATTCCCTGACAGGCTGTATCACAAACTCATCATTCACTGGAAAGGGAAAAAATCATGCCCAAAAATTTTAAAGAATCATCTACAGTTTCTTGAGGGCATTTGTCGTGACGGAGACCTTGCGCAAACCAAGCATTTGGCACACCAGAGCTTTTGATGGTAAATTAAGCTAGACTCCACCTTTTCAGAGAAGCTAAGGTGGGATTTGGGGCACTGCCGCTGACCAAGGACGCATTGGGTCTCCATGCTACTCGTGCCAACCACTAAGCAAAGATCTGATCGCAGGCCGATCAAGAACAGATGTGTGTCTTGTCTCCCATTGACAATTGCGCCTGGAAGTTGGAGTCAGACTCTCTGAAAGCTGTCTGGACAAGGCCTGACACTTTTCTCGGGCTGGTTACTTGTTATAGCAAATCAAAGTGTAGCCGCGGTGCTCGATGCACTTGTTTCAGAAGGAACATGAGACATACACCTGCCTATGGATGTGATGCCTCTGCCTGTTGCAACCCAGCTGGCCAAGGCTAGATGCAGAATGTGAATAGCGTACATACAAACATCAACAAGACGTACGTGTCTACTGTGTTATAAAAGCTTCTTTTCATGTAGCAATCGAGCTACTTTGTCTCGTTTGCAAAAGTCAAGACTATCTGGAATTTAAAATTTCATGATCGATGTATTCTATAATTGATGAAAAGCACTTCTGCGGCTACTTTACTACACCGAGGATAAATGTTTTTTCGTAAATCTCTTAACATTAGCTCGATCTCAGTTCTTTATTTATCCAACTGTTTAGATACATTATTTTGGCATGTGCAAACAAAGTGAGGGGAAAACTTTCAAAATGTTTGATTTTAACAAGGTCAGTAAATTTTCGAAAATACTTTGTAGGAGTAATGCAAAACACCTGTTTCTTGAAACGTTTTAATTTACAGCTTTCGGGTACCTCTTTAGTTACACAACTACCTTTTCTTTGATAAGGCATACACAGAATGATTTGACCTTTGACATCAAATCGACCTTTGGGGTCATAATCAAAGCTGCCACCGACCCATATTTCCTTTCCATCCTAATCAAAGCTCCCATGTTGTCATTCTATTTTCCTTTACACAAAATTAGGTCTAGGTACCTAAAAGTCAACCGCAATATGCAGTTTTCCTAATTTGAACTTTGACCTCAAATTAACCCTTCAAGATCATAATCAAGGGTAAGATCCACTCGCATTTTCTTCCCCATCCTATTATTGATTGATCTGAAACGGTTGCCAGCTATTAACAAAAAATGCCGTCCCAAGTGTAAAATTGCATTTTGGCTGGCCCACTGTAATTGATTCAATCATTCAATTTCGTCATCAGTATAAATTCATATACGAAGTATTGTTCCTTAATCTAAACAAAAAAGAAAGTTTAAAAAAGTGAGCTGTGTGATTATTGCGATATGCTTCTACCTTATTTCTTTGGCCCGTTGGTTTTAGTTAATTTTGAATCACAAAAAAGTGACAAAATTAAATCGGTAAAATGAACGACCAAAAACGAATTTGCTTGTCCGCCTCTACGCCTCTCCCGGAGTGAGACGAAAATGACGATAAATAAGACAAAAAATAGTGGGTTTTTTTTGAAAATTAAAAAATTAAATTAAAAAATACCTGGATCCAATTATCCTCTCGGTCGACAGAAAGAAGATGTGAATGATCCATTATCAGAAAGCCTATACAACCAGGTCTAACTCTATCGGCTTGGAAACCGGCACTTTGCAGACTAGAAGATGAAGTAAATGAGCTGTCTGGAATTGTTCCATCTTCCACGCCCAGTTGAGATTGGCAAAGTACTGCAAGTAGAAATAATCTTAAGTCACTTTGATTTTAGACTAGGCCTATGCCCTGACCTAATGTGACGTTGGATCACCAATTCAGCACACGTAAGGGTCTATCAGTTTTCTGATAATATGTTTGCGTTCGTTCTTCTTGTATTCAACATTGTTTACTGCAGAGAACAGTGTTGCCCACAGCAAACAGAAGTTACAAAAACTCTCAATCTAAAATTCACTTCATTTTGAGCACATAAATTGGGTATCATGAAATGGACGAGAGTTAAGGCTGCATTATGGTACACATTGTAAGTGATTCGTTTCCGCTCGACTGATCAATAATTATTTTGACATGATATAAAATGACAATTTATCGCATGCTACAAATTAGCGCATGAGTAAAGAACAAACAATCTTCATTTCATTTGACTTTATTTCCTTTGGAAATTGTGAAAAAGAAATCACTATGAATTGGATTTAATCTCCACCGTCATTGGAATGTATCGTCTAGTGGCTATTTCCCATGCCTTCAACAGCCATGCGTGCCAACAATTATTATGATTAAGGATCAACGACGGCGACGCCATGCATGTTTTATAATCAACGTTCTTCCCATTTATGTTTCTCGAGGGCTTTAATTAATCACTCATTAGTATGGAAAGAGTCAGGATATTGGTAAGCATTAACTTTTATGATAGAAACGTTCAATTTGTTGTAACTTTTTCCAGTCTACCAGTGCAATGTAGTACACCCAAATGTGAATACCGGTAAGTCAGTAAACAACTCGTTGTGTTGTGCCCTGACACCTCAGCTTGTGAGGGAATCACAAGATGATATTACGGACCAAATTTTAGTGAATTACTAGTTCTTGTGGCCTTGGTCTTTTTGACAGGGGATGTAGAGACAAACCAAGGTCCTCTGGAAGCTGGTAAAAAATGTCTATGGGTTATACAGGTGCCTATTTAGAAAAAACACAGTGCTTATGCAGGCGCGGATCCGGGAGGAGTGGGTCGAGCACCCCTCCCCACTCTGAGAAAAACAGAAAAAAAAATGGTAACGCAGTGGGCAATTCATAAAAAGTAGCAGTGACACTCCTTATGATGGGAATTAATGCAGCAGGTGTCAAATCTTTAGTCACGCCCTCTCTTCAGGCAAAATTAAAAATCACGACCGCTGAAAATGGTCCTTAATAAGATACCTGTGCAGCCTAGAAGCTCCAGTCGCATGCTGGGTTTGCAATACCACCGGATGGGATGCACTCGAACTGACCTGGCTACAACTTGGTGTTGAAAGTAGTTCGTTGCAAGGTGATTATTGTCAAAGTTACCATAGAACTCCTATGAAAGGGGTTTGTATTCAGACTGAATTAACTTGTTTTGCTTGAATGCAGTAGCAGATTTGACTTGTGTGGAATATAAAAAAAGAATTTAAAGAGAATCCAAACGCTGTATATGCAATATAAAAACCGGACTCTGCATTAAATATTGCTCGTGGGGAATCGAGCTTCATTTTGCCCTATTTCATTACTTACCTTAAGGTATCAGTAATGATTGCTGTGGATGGTTTTTAAAAAACTCTTACCTCGCTTATTATGCATGCTTATATACACATCATGATTTCTTACCTCTGAAGAACTATGAGATGTTTTGACAAAGAGCCAGCTACGATTCTGAAGAAATGACACTTTGAATACAATCACCCACTGACTTTTGTCCTGTCGACCCTGCGTTATGACGCCTGTAACATGAGTCCACCGTGTAAAGTCAACTTCCAACCAAACCTCTGCGTGGACGTTATCGGTGTGTGCGAGCCAGCCCCCAGCCAGTCCAAGTTCGGGGTCACCTCTTTGATTCAATCGGGCCCTTTGCGGCCCATGTGTTCGGCTGTCCCAGCTGCCCGAAGATGATATCTGATGGTTGGAAATCTCCCCGTTCTCTAAACCAAGCCGCTCCTGGCAGAAAGCTTAGAGGTAATAGATGCAACAAACGTACGATGGCATAGTACCTGATAAAAATTCATGAACCAGTTTATATCTTCATGGATTTTATGGAACGTATTACCGGTTTTGCTATGCAGTGCTCGGCTCTTGGGCACATTTTAATCACTAATAATAACAAAGAAGAACACGAGAGGTTTACACCTGTTCAAGAACAGAACGTAAGGCTTTTCCGCATTTTGAATGTTTCTTATGGCAAAAGGTAATGGTGCTGTGAAGAATGGACATTAAATGCCACATTATTTTAGTCCAGCTATCTGGAAGGTTCAATCGCACATGGACTCCGGGAGATTCGAAGCTTTAAACAGTGCACCTCTTATGTCAGGTTTCCTGCTACTTGAGGAGGGCACTTTTTGTCTGTACCATTTCCTTTTCTAGTTACCTCCATATATAAAAACTGATGGGACACGTCCTTCAGGAGATATTGGGCTTTTTAAGAGTGCACCTCTAATGTCACGGACTTGCCACCTGATTATGGCATCATCACATGAGGGCAATTTTACTCTGATTTCTTCCCTTTCTAGTTATCTGCAAAGTTTCAACCAGATGGGACACGTACTTCAAGAGATATACGGCTTTCTTTGAAGAGTGCACCTTTAAGGTCAGGTGACTTGGTACCTGATGACGTCATCATCACCTGTGGTCCGTTTTCGTCTTTGCTGCATCCCTTTTAAGATATCTGCAAAGTTTCAACGCAATCAGATATGTACTTCAGGAGATACAGGCCTCTGAAATTTGTACCTTAAATGCCATGTCACGTGGCACTTGGTGACGTCATGATGAAGATTTCCTTGTGGACCAAGTCTACCCTGAGGAGGACCGAGTGATGATCTTATGTGTATTGTCAGATCGAAAAAAATGCCTAGTCTTGATGTTGAAAAACATGTGCAAAAATATGGGAAAATCTTAAATATGGTAAATTCCACAATAAATCAGGTGATAAACTTATTACGACGTCATGTTTTAAAAAAGATCCTTGCTATAAGTTGCTTAAGTGTGTAAAGTTTCAAAGCCATATGACTTTGTTTAATGCCCAAAGAGGTGACAAACAAAAGGGCTGGAAGTTTCGCTCACGGTGTCTGTCTGTTTAAAAACGTGAACAAAACATATGTGGAAATATTAAATGTGTAAAATTCCATAGTAAATCAGGTGATGACGTCATGTTATGCGAAAGACCTCTGCTATAAGTGTTAAGTGTGTAAAGTTTCAAAGTCATATGACTTTCTTTAATACCCAAAGAGGTGAAGAGAAAAAGTTGGGTTAGACCAAGAAGAACCC